CCATACCCAAAGATAAGCTCAAAATGGATGAAAGACCTCAATGTGAGACAGGAATCCATCAAAATCCTAGAGGAGGACATAGGCAGTAACCTCTTCAACATCGGCCACAGCAACTTCTTTCAAGACATGTCTCCAAAAGCAAGGGAAACAAAAGCGAATATGAACTTTTGGGACTTCATCAAGATAAAAAGCTTCTGCACAGCAAAGGAAACAGTTAACAAAACAAAGAGGCAACCCACAGAATGGGAGAAGATATTTGCAAATGACACTGCAGACAAAGGGCTGATATCCAAGATCTATGAAGAACTTATCAAACTCAACACCCAAAAAACAAATAATCAAGCCAAAAAAAGGGCAGAAAACACGAACAGACACTTCTCCAAAGAAGACATACAAATGGCTAACAGACACATGAAAAAATGTTCATCATCATCAGCCATCAGGGAAATTCAAATCAAAACCACATTGAGATACCACCTTACACCAGTGAGAATGGCAAAAATTGACAAGGCAAGAAACAACAAATGTTGGAGAGGTTGTGGAGAAAGGGGAACCCTCTTACACTGTTGGTGGGAATGCAAGTTGGTACAGCCACTTTGGAAAACAGTGTGGAGGTGCCTCAAAAATTTAAAAATAGAGCTACCCTATGACCCAGCAATTGCACTCCTGGGTATTTACCCTAAAGACACAGATGTAGTGAAAAGAAGGGCCATATGCACCCCAATGTTCATAGCAGCAATGTCCGCAGTAGCTAAACTGTGGAAAGAGTGGAGATGCTCTTCAATAAACGAATGGATAAAGAAGATGTCGTCCATATATACAATGAAATATTACTCAGCCATCAGAAAGGATGAATACCCAGCTTTTATATCAACATGGATGAGAGTGGAGGAGATTATGCTAAGTGAAATAAGTCAAGCAGAGAAAGTCAATTATCATATGGTTTCACTTATTTATGGAACATAAGGAATAGCATGGAGGACATTAGGAAAAGGAAGGGAAAAACAAATGGGGGGAAATCGGAGGGAGAGATGAACCATGAGAGACTATGGACTCCGAGAAACAAACTGAGGGTTTTAGAGGGGAGGGGGTGTGGGGACGGGTTAGCCCAGTGATGGGTATTAAGGAGGGCATGTATTGCATGGAGCATTGGGTGTTATATGAAAACAATGAATCGTGGAACACTACATCAAAAACTAATGATGTAGTGTATGGTAACAAACATAATAAAAAAAAAAAGGAAAAACTCAAGAGATAAAAATTTCATCCTAAAGTGTGCCCACTTTTAGCTGAAAGTATTCTTTTACAATTGCTTGCATATTTTATATTGGAATTACCCTAGAAAAAAAATTACTGGAAAGTAAAAAATACAGAAATATGTTCTTTGCCATGAATATACATGCAATGCCATGAGTCTAACATTTATTTAGCTCCTCCAACCCTCCTTTTTTTTGGGGCCTAGAATTTCAGTAGGGACAATGAAAAGCCCACATAAATAAAATTCAGAATATCTACAGTAATGGAGAGGGAGGAGAAGGCAAATACTCATTGATAATTAGGGTTTTGAGGTGATTATCCAATATGATGACATAAGGCAACTTAGAAATATATTGATACACCATTGGTGTTATTACAGCTGGTGTTTGAGCTAGTAAATATTAAGTAAGTCCCTATTATGAGCAAGTTAACTTGCCTAAGGTAGTGGGGGAGACAAACTTTGAACTATGCTGTATCATTCCACATGCTATGTCCTTTATAATTCAGTATGAGGGATTTTGCTTACTAATCCTTCATATTCATGTGACCTGGATACATATAAGTAGTTTGCTTTTAAAACAACTATGAATATGATATATATAGGACAAATAATACATTATCTAAGTTGGTTTTAAATGTATGTTTCTTTTCAAATAAATGGGTGTCCAGAGTTGTTTGATCATTTATGACTATTGTTCCATTCTTTTCCCCTTTACTAGAGTTAAGAGGTATTGGGGGAGAAAAATGCTTGAGTAATCTCTTGGTTTGGATCATGAGACCTTAGGCACATCTCAGCAACAAAAGACAATCACTAAGTTGTTAAACTTGACACAAGAAACTTTTTCCCCTTCTTGAGATGGAGGGAGAAGAAAATGAAAAGAAAGAGGAGGTCAGTGAAAAACAAGAGCAGTTAGCAGGTTGGGAGACTAGATGAGGTGCTGGCTAGAAAAGGGATGAAGTCAGGACCTCCAAATTCCATTACTGCCAGAGAAATTTTGAGAAAAATGGTATCTGAAAGATGAATTTTAAAATTGGAGCTATGCCATACTCTTTGAATCTTTTGAAATCTATAATCTCTATTTCTCATAATGATCAGTGTGAATATGATTTTTAAAAAGGTAATATTTGTTTTAATTTTTTTGAAACCAGTAAAAGGTATGAGTTCACAATTTGGTTGACACAGTGAAACACCAAAACAGCACATGTGGAAGTAGAAGATAAAGGTAGAAAGGGATCATGGGGATGTTTAATGCTTTTACAAGCTGTGGAAATAGTGAGTTTAAGTCATTCAATCTAGAAAGGCAGGAAACTGAACAATAATTTCAACTGATACAGCACAATTAAAAGAGATTATCCTGGGTGCCTGGGTGGCTCAGTGGGTTAAGTGTCTGTCTTTGGCTCAGATCATGATCCCTGCATTCCGGGATCAAGCCCTGAGTTGGGTTCCCTGCTCAGCAGAGAGCCTGCCTCTCCCTCCCCCTCTGCTGCTTACTCTGCTTGTGCTCTCTCACTCTCTGTCAAATAAATAAATAAAATATATATATATTTTTAAAGATTTTATTTATTTATCTGAGAGAGAATGGGAGACAGAGAGCATGAGAGGGGGAGGATCAGAGGGAGAAGCAGACTCCCCGCCGAGCAGGGAGCCCAATGTGGGACTCGATCCCGGGACTCCAGGATCATGACCTGAGCCGAAGGCAGCTGCTTAACCAACTGAGCCACCCAGGCGCCCCTAAAATATTTTTTTAAAAAAAGATTATCAATGTAAGTTTAACAATTTTCTTTTCAGTTACAATTTTCAGACCACGAGTTTCCCTACTTTGCTTGAGAATAGTGTAGTTTTCCTCATAAACCTCTTCGAAATTGCCATGTCCTTCAGCAATCTTACTATTACACTCAAATTCTTTTTAAAAGGTCTTATTTATTTGACTACAGTAGAGATATTATTGATTTACAGTTACAAGCAGGTTTTACCTAGATCTATCCTTCTTATGACTACAAATGTGGTGTTTTAATCCCAGACTCTCTCTCTCTTTTTTTTTTGGTAGCACCAGTCAGAACCTCTGCTTTAGCATTCGTCATACTAATGCTAAAATGGTTCTCATTTTTTAGTGACTTCCTTAGAGGCTGAAATGATCACTTCCATGTCTCAGCTCTCTTTCTCTATCAAAATTTTTTTTCATAGGTCTAGTTAGATTTGCTCAGTGTCTTTTCAGGCTCCATTAGTATCTCTCTTCATTTTATCTATCTATCTATCTATCTATTTATTTTTTTTCAAAAATTTTTAAATATTTTATTTTATTTTATTATGTTATGTTAGTCACCATATAGTACATCATTAGTTTTTTCATGTAGTGTTCCATGATTCATTGTTTGCATATAGTTAACATATAGTGCAGTATTGGTTTCAGAAGTAGAATTTAGTGATTCATCAACTTACATATAATAGCTAGTGTTCATCGTAACTAGTGCCCCCTTAATACCCATCACCCATTTAGCCAATCCCCCACCCACTTCCCTCCATCAACCCTTAGTTTGTTCTCTACTGTAAAGAGTCTCTTAGGGTTTGTTTCCCTCTCTCTCTCTCTCTTTTTTCCTCCCTTCCCATATGTTCATCTGTTTTGTTTCTTAAATTCCACATACGAGTGAAATCATATGGTATTTGTCTTTCTCTGGCTGACTTATTTCGCTTAGCATAAATCTCTCTAGCTCCATCCACATCATTGCAAATGGCAAGATTTCATTCTTTTTGAAGCTGAGTAGTATTCCATTGTGTGTGTATGCGTGTGTGTATGTATGTATGTATATATACCACATCTTCTTTATCCATTCATCAGTTGATGGACACTTGGACTATTCCATAGTTTAGCTTTTATTGATAACTCTCTTAATTTTAAATCATGAATCTTCTTTATGGTTCTCACCCAAGAGAAGGGAGTTCTAAGCAGCCTCATTTCTTATTTTCACGTATTCAGAGCAGTTGTGGTTAAGAGGAAAAAGCTTTGTGCTGGGGTTGGGGGCATAGATTCAGGTTCTGGCTTCAGTTTCTGCATCTACAAAATATAGTCTGAACACCTATTCTGGTGAGGATTAAACAAAATAACATGGGGCAGCACTTTGTAAATTATAAATGGCTATAGAAATTGTAGATATTATTTTTAAAGAAAAAGAAAAATATTTCAGTCAAGAGTGTTCTGGATTGAACCAAACAACCTATCTCTTTTCCCTCTTAAACCCTTTGCCATTGGAACATGAATACTGGGAGAAATCTTAGCTCCTTGGCAAGTAAATTGACCTGGGGAGCAGTCTTTCATCATTCCTTGCCTCTTATGAGAAAGGTTAGAATCTTTGAATTTTTACTGAGATGATTAAAAAAATAGAGTTACAAAATGGGGTGATGTGGAATTCCAAGAAAACATGAGAAAGCACAGCAGAAGGTAACTGACCTTTGTTGGAGTTAACAGCTCACAGTAATTTTTGGCTCTTTCCTTACTCTTTGAGGAGAGGTATATAAACGTGATTTTACTTAAATGGATGTGAATTATATTTATTTAGAAAAACTATACTGTTCTAGTTATAAGAATTTATCTGTCAGGAAATGTATATATATGTTTTGGAAATTGGATCTTAATAGCATCATTAGTCATAGAAATATTAGTGCATGTGATATAACTGTTTTATATATCTGTACAATCTTTGAAGTTCACAGAATTTTAAAAATTAATTTTCCTTTACACATTTAGGAACCTTCTGATATCTTCAACTGTTCTGTGAAGTCTACTACAATATACTGTAAGTAAAGTGATTTCCTACTTTTTGGGGGAGAATATCTTGCTCTGCATTTGCCACATACATGCATCTTCATGCTTTCCAGTTTCAGATATAATGGATAAATGTCACATACTTTTAAAGTAGATACACAGACAACCCTCAGTTATTCATAGCAATGGAGAGAAGTAATATGGAAGTTGTGGCAAGTGCAGGTTTAGATATGTTGAATTAATTTGTTCTCTTTCTTTATGAAATCTTTCTTATTGGGGGCAAAATTTCAAGAAGTGCTTATATAGCACCTTTAAAAGTGTTTTAAATAAATTAACACAAGTAGATATAACAACTATATGAATAAATAATAGTTTTAGGAATGAAAAGTATACTAGTCACTATGCAAAATGCATAGCAACACTATTCCTAACTAGTGACTTTGCAGTTGAGGAATAAGAAGGTTGAAGGGAGATGGCAGAATCTGGTAGGATACATTTGTGCTTTAAGTAAAGTTTTATTTCATTTTTTTTTTTCACTTTGTGGAGCTGTGAGCCAAGGTTTCTTTTTTTCCTAGCATAAAAGGGAAAATATTTAGACATATGGGTCACAAAAGCCACTTATGCTCAAAATATCTCAACTTCACGATCAAAATATCTCTGGCATCATGAGGTCCTGGAAAAACCCGGAGTGTATTTTTCTGATTAGACCTGGGACAGTGTCCCAGTGGTCCTGTCATCCTTCCTCCACCTGGCTGAGGCACATTCTCTGCACAGTGTGTGCAATACTGTTTGGCTGCTGCTTCATCACTAAGTAGTGTCAGTTGCACATGTGGGCTGGCTGCAGGGGGCCTGGACCCACGGAATACTGTCTGAGTGGAGTTTTCCACTCGATGTTTGGTTTGGCCTAGTCCACGTGATGTCTTGCCAGACCTGCGAACTCCTGTCCGAATTCACTCATTCCCGGATGGGAAATATTCCTCATGCTGTTGTCAGAGAACCCTGATCTTTCACTGTAAACCTGGCAGGATGTCTGTTGGCCAGACCAAAGTACCAAGAAGCCAGATTTTTCTCTATGAAGGATGTGTCTGCAGTGGATGGTACTTGTTCTAGTAAAAGTATTTAAGGTTGTGGTGTTGGCCAGGTTTATCCACTTAAAAAATAAGAAACTCATAAATGTAGCACTGAAAAGCCCTCCATTTCAAATAATGGAGGCAATGACTCTTCCAGGTCGGCAGCCAAAGTAAAACAAAGTATGGTACAGGATGTTATCTTAGAAACAGAATTTTGTGTTTAGGTCTGCAGTCTTAGAAAGTTAGCAAAATGTTCTTTTATAAAGCAAGCGTGGTACATGGACAGCTGTGCCAAGGGTGTGGTGATCCTGGTGCAGGCATCAGGGCTGAAGATTTACCCAGCCCTCTTGCACCTGTGAGGATGAATTGGTTTTTATATTTTATTCCTGTGTCAGGATCTCCCCTCCCCCCGTTTTTTTGGATGTACTGTGTCTATGGCAAGTGAAGTCCATAAATTAAATCAGTAGATATTTATTTCCTTTAACTAACATGGTACTGGGCATATAACTTAATATTGTGTAAAGTAAGTACACAGATCATATTATACAACATATATTATAAATTTTCACAGAGTGAACACACTCATATTAATTACTACTACAAGAAATAAAGCAATTTTCAGTACCCCAAGAGCTCCTCTTGTGCCCTTTACAGTCACTACCCACTCCTCCTCTCCATAAATATTCTCCATCCAGTCTTATGAACTTTATATAAATGGAATCATATAGTATAATGTTTTGGGGGGAACTGGTTTTGTTTAAAATTAAGTTTATTTGATATACCCATTTTTGTAAATAGCAGTAGTTTTTCATTTTTCATCATAGGTAACCTTCCGTTGTATGTATATAGCAAAATTATTGATTTATTCTACTCTGAATGGCTATTTGGGTGGTTCCCAGTTTTGACTATTATAACTAATGCTGCTGTGATTATGTATGTATAGTTTTTAATGACCATTTGCAAACATTTCTGTTAGGTATTGAATTAAGTAGAATGGCTGGGTCATAGGATGTGTATTTTACAATAATAGAGGATATTACTGAAATTTTCCAAAGTAGTTGTATCATATTGTGCTTCAATAAGCTATATATGAGAACTCCAGTTTCTCTTGGTCATAGATATGTCTTACTATTGTCAAGCTTTCCAATTTTAGCCATCCATACTTGTGAGGTGATATCTTGTTGCATTTCTTTAATGACTAATATGGTTGCGCATTTTTTTATATCTTTAATGGTCATTTGTATGTGCCCCATCCCTTTTTTAATGATTCTTCAAGTTTCCTATGGGTTTATCTTTTTCTTATTGATTGATGTGTTCTCAGATTATTTGGAATCAAATCCTTTGTTAATTATCTGTTCTTCTACTCTTTCTATTGTCATAATCGTGTTTCTTGATGAAGAGATGATTAATTTGTGTGTGTGTGTGCGTGTGTGCATCCTGCTTAAGAAATCTTCCTGTATTCCAAGGTCATGAATATATTATGCTATATTATCTTACAGAAGCTTTACTCTTTTATCTTTTACATCTGTATTTCTCTGGCTACTTTAAAATGTTCTTTTCATCTTTGTTTTTCAGCAGTTTTACTATGTTTTTGTTTGTTTGTTTTATTTTGTGTTTATCCTGCTTGGATTTCATTGAGGTTCTTAAATTTGTGGATTGATGTCTGCTGTTTCTGTAATATTGTTATTCAACATCATATAAGATTTTGCCTCACTATCTCCTCTCCTTTTAGGACTTCAATAATTTGTCCAATAGATCTTTCATATACCTTTTCTTTATTTTTCATCTTTTCCTCTCTCTCTTCTTTAGTCTGGATGTTTTAAAGATTTTTTTTATTTATTTGACAGAGAGAGACACAGCGAGAGAGGGAACACAAGCAGGGGGAGTGAGAGAGGGAGAAACAGGCTTCCAACAGAGCAGGGAGCCCCATGTGGGGCTCAATCCCAGGGTCCTGGGATCATGACCTGAGCTGAAGGCAGACACTTAACGACTGAAGCCACCCAGGCGCCCCAGTCTGGATGTTTTAAATTGACCTAACTTCCAGTTCTAATTCTCTTATCTCCTGTTTAATGTCTATAAATTTCTTAATTGTAGTAATTGTCTTTTGCAGTTTAGAATTTTTGATTAGTTTCAGTTTCTGGTCAATTTCTCCATTTTCTCATCTACTTTCTGAAAACATTAATCACAGTTGTTTTAACATCCTTGTGTGAGAACTCCGAAGTTTGCATCATCTTGAATCTGTTTCCTTTTTTTTTTTCTAATTTTTTTCTTGATTTCTGAGCATTTAACTCTCTATCCTACCATGCTTAATAATTAGAAAAATTAAATGCCAGATATTGTATATGAAAAATCATAGAGATAAGTTTGTGAAGTTCTACCTAATGTTATCTTTCTCCAGAGAGGATTTAATATTAATTTACTCTGCACTTTGAGCAGGAACAGATGACCTTTACCTGGTTTTGAATTGAACTGGTCAACACTGGATTTTTATGAGAACTTTGCCCTTAATCCTAAAGTCTGGCCCTTTCAAAGTCCTTTTGGAGGTCTGGGCCTTTTATCAGGGGCTGTCTGATTTGCAGGCCCCTGAACTCCAGTTTTTATCCCCTTAGTCTCATTAGACTGTTCAAAACTCAATTCAGGTTTTTAGCATTTGGCTATTATTTCTACTTTGCCTCTTAGCTTCTTTATCCTGCCCTTCTTGTAGCCTAACAAATATCTTGAAGGGAAAAGTACTACAATATACCTCCCTTCTCTCCAGGATCTTGGTACTCAAATGATTCATTTTCAAACACTTTTTTTTTTTGTTTTTTCCAACTTTTCTAATTATCTCAGATTAATCCTGTGGAAATTTTGCTCTGCAGCTAGCCACTCCACCAACACCAGGAGCAGGAAATCCTGTAGGCTTTTTCTATGACAGGGAGGACTAGACTAGGTATATTGTATTCTCAGTGACTTCTACAATCCTCAGTACATGAATATGCTCGGAAATTTTTTCAATGAATAAAAATATGCAAGAGAAACAGAAACAGGCCCATTTTAAAGGGGACATTTTTGGCTTAATGAAATAGCTAAGAGTTATTCAAGATTCTTTAGTGCTTAGTTTAATGCCAACATATTTCATAGAATCTTTCTTCACAACTTGAATTCTCTTTTATCTTTTTCCCCCTCTGTAAAACATTTGGAACCCATTCTACAATTTATCTCCTAGTCTTATATTGTCTTAGTAGTATGTTTGATGTTATAAGCTGGCAAATATGTCTGTGATATTAGCATTAGGTAAGCTCTACAAGACAGGCTCTGTTACATTTCTGCTACATTCTTCAATATATCTCAAGTGGTGCTAAACACACTGATGTGATAATTCTTCAAAATGTAAGAGGCAATCAAAATTGAAGTGCTACATTCTACACTCAAAGGATTCATATAATGTATATCTCAGTATATATTTTTTAAATTAAAATTTCAGATGTGTACATTTAGTAGATTTTGTATAGATTTTCATGTGTAGATTTTTTTGGGTAGGCTGCATGCAGAGCACTATGTTTATGAGTAAGTGTCCCAGTGTTCCGTCAGTGTCATTCAGTTGCCACCATGGCCTAATTAGAGGACAGAATCATCATTGTTATAAGTAAGGAGATCTGTTTACTGTGTTCTTAATATGTGATGGATGCCATGGCAATTATTTTACATAAATTGTCTCATTTAATCTTCATAATAACCCAATTCAAAGATACTATTGTTATCCCAATTTTTAGGTAAGGAAACTGAGGCAGAAAAAGGTTAAATCACTTTTCCAAGGTTATAGAGCTAACAAGTGGAAAAGTGCTTGGATAGTGCTTGTGGTAGTATGAAGCCCTAACAAAATATATTACTCTATTCTACTTTCCATTGGAAATTCTCCAGTCCCTTGTCCTGGTAATGAAGGGGAAGCAGAGAGAGAGGTATGATTCAGTTTATTGTC